GCTTAAATTGTGAAAGAAATGTTGAATGATGGGCAAGCATCTTCATTTACCATCTCTTCTCTTACAGTTACTTCAAGGTCTACGTAACTATTGATCCCACTTATTTTGAAATAAGAAAGATGTAAATGGTTCCATTTATCTTTATATCCTAGTATTAACTCTGTAGGTTGAAGGAGAAAACAGAAGTTTTCTTATTGTGAATTTCTGACCTTCGGCATCTTACGGAAAGCATTCCTTGAATGCTCTGAGGTCCTCAACTCCATTCTTAAATTTAAAACTACAAACTTTGGCATTTTAAAGGTTTTACTGCATTCTATTAATCACCACCCCAGATCAAGTCTTAGGAAAGGGTGAAACTAACCCCAGGATTCCTTATCTACCACATTTAAGTGTACATCTCCAACAAACTCCCAAGACTAACCACATATCTGCCTTTTCAGTAAATGTCCTCAATTAAGACTCTGGGGAGAGATAATTCAATTTAACAATCATAAAATATTTGCCTCGCTATTCTGCTTTCAATAAATGAATCAACTATATTATTCTGTTTAATTGTCACATTCCAATGCTATAACCACTAATCCCCAACAGCTGGAACAGCGCACAGTTTCCAATTAAATTCTGGTTCCAATTTTGCTAGAGTTAACATACTTGATATAAGCTTCCAAGCTTAAGTTCTCACTTATTATTTTACACAACACATAGATCATTTATTTCCTGATGCTCTATAATATGGGGGGGGGAGAGTTCCTGGTTAATTTTACCCTCTATATCCCCCCCCCACATCTCTTAAAAAAATTCCTGGACAACTGACCAACCACAGAGGTGGGTCCCTACTGGTTTGGACCGGTTCAGCCAAGTAGGTAGTAACTCGGCAGGCCACATGCCCAAACTGGTTCCATCTTGTTTTTTGCTTCTGCGCATGCGGATGAGCAATTTTTTTACTTCTGTGCATGCGCGCGTTGCGCCCCCCCCCCCAAAGTGCATCCCTGAGTGAACCGGCAGTAAAAGAAGCCAGAATCCACCATGACTAACCAATAACTGAGAATTGGCTTTGAAGAACTAGAGAGAAGACTATTATTTCTGTGCTCTTCCAGATTTCCAATGTGTCATGAATGGTGGTTGATGTCATCCTTTTAAGGCAGGTCAGATCAAGATAAAAGCCCAACAGAGACTCCAAGAATGCTCTTTATTTATTAAGGGAGAACAAGAACCTTGAAGGTCCATCCAATTTTCTCTCTGTCCCATCTAAACAAAATCAAAGGCAGGGACATTCTCACTCTTCCTTCTTTCTCTACCAAAAAACTGTGAATTTTTTCTCTTCAAGTCATCCCTGAACAGCTTGCGCATTCCTTCCCCAAAGCCAACTCTACATTTCTTCATTTATTTATTTATTTGACCTAGAACTTTGGGGTGGATCACAGCATAAGGGATTTTATGGTCATCCAGCACATTGAAGCTACGAATATTGCCCAGTTATTGGGCAAGAATGATGCAAGCTGTAAAGCCAATTGTGAGGCAGCTTCAGTGCCTTGGTAGAAATAGATAATTTGGGGAATCTGAGTTGGAAATGTGTGAGAATTTGCCTCCTTGTGAATATAACAGGGGAAAAAAATTAAGAATTTTATAGGTTATGTAAAGAATTGCAGAATGAAGAATTATAGCAGGGGGATTTCAAATGAATTCCTTATTTTACAATTGCTTTCTGAAAGTTGGACTCAATTAAATTTAGAAGATTTGCTGAAAGGCAAAATATTTTTTTGCCAAGACAACCTCATTCAAAATCCTTAATTATCTTAAAGCTGCTATCATATTTTTCGGTTGGCAACCAGTATTTCCAAAATGGTAAGAAAGAAAGAAATGAGGAACCATAACAGCAGTAATAACAGAATGATTTAGGATTATTGTTTTTTATTGCAAGTATATAAAGCACCACTCAGATTATATGAATTGCTCTCCAATACTTCTAAGCCAATAGATCTGAAAGTTTTAAAGCATAAAATAATGACTGACGCCCAGATAAAGGGGACTCCTAAATTAAATTCTCATGGAATTCATTTAAAGGACTTCCTTCAGAGCTGTTCAATAGGAAGGGATAAAACCACAAGGAGGCCATCTATCTAATTTACTCAGTTACAAAATGACACCACAAAACATTCCTTTTCTTTTTCCCTTCGACCCAAGTAAGCAAGGCCAAACCACAAAGTGGTTTTGGAATTCTGATAAACTCCCTCTTTAGCATAATTAATTATATTATCTTTGAGAGGAAGTGAGAAGACATTGCCAGAAGGTTAAAGCGGAGTCACCAGCCCAAAATCCTAGAAAGAGCCATTGTTTCTTCACTAAAAAAAGGCAAAGGGATTCAGTAGAGTGAACCACTTCATGATTTGTAGATTGAACTCTGCCTAGATCTCCAGCTGTTACACTCAGTACTCAATATGTAGTTAGTACTCTTGGCAACGAGATGCAGGGTGCAAACCTCTCTGCATTTACGCAGAATGAATTCCCCTGGATTGAGTGAAACCACCTTTTGACTAATCATGTTTAGCACTTGTCTGAAAAATAAGCTTGGCCAGACAGTTTACGCTATCTTTTTGAAATGGTCATCATCCTGCTGGGTTTGTGTTCAGTTTCAATCCTAGTTAGCCACCTAGAACAGGGGTCAGCAATCCGTGGCTCTGGAGCCGCATGTGGCTCTTTCATCCCTCTGATGCGGCTCCCTCTCGCCAGTCAGCACCACAAATTTGAGAGGAGCTTCCAGTTTTGGGAGGGAAAGCANTCTGATTCTATCTCCTTGCAAACAACTAACTGGGGTTAAGAATTTCATATGAAATATACAGGTGGAGGAAGGATTGTTACTTATAAAGAAGTAAAACCACCTCCAATGACAAGTCGACACGTAGCAGAATATGGAATACTTTTATAAAAAAAATATAGCATGTTTTGTCTGTCTCTGAAAGTCAAAATAATTTGGAGCCAGAATTGGAAAATAAGAACTGTTACTATTATGCAAAACGTCATACATAACTCCAGTCATAGACATTTTGTTATCGTGAATGTGTTACATAAAGAAAAACAGATCTTGTTTAAAATTTGGTGGGATATTTTATCTGCCAAAAAAATGAAGAAAAGAAAAAAAAAAGCTTTAGGAAAATCCATGCTTCACATGCTCAAACTCCTGGGTTCAACATCAGTTTCTCTAGGATTGAGTTGTTTGCTTTGTTTTAAGATTAATGGCAACAGCTTTTAGACTTATACACCACCTTATAGTGCTTTACAGCACTCTCTGGGCAGTTTACAAATCAGCATATTGCCCCCCAACAATTGGGGTCCTCATTTTAACCACCTCAGAAAGATGGATGGCACAGCCAACCTTGAGTCGGTTATGATCGAACTCAAGGCTGTGAGCAGAGTTTGCCTGCAATACTGCATTCTGTCAGAGCATAACACAGCACACAGCACACAGCACACAGCGCATAGAGCCTTAGTACAATTAATAGTGGTTTATATACAAAATATATACAGGCATGTACACGCAGAGATAAATCCCTTACCAGCTACAAACACAAGGAGAGAAAGTGAGATGCACAATGAGTGATAAACGCCCTTTAATAGACACCTATATATATATAGACTTGTGTGGACCTCCCATCAGAGTCTTAAAAGGGTTATACCATAGCTGCAATGAATCAGCCTCATTGCATCAGCCACGTTACATTGCATCAGCTTACCGATTACAGCTTACAACCTTTCATCAACTGGCAGCTATTAAATCCACAGTACCTTGACACATTCTAACCACTGCACCATCAGGCAGGGCTTAGCATATTATGTGAAAATATTCTCTCTGAAACCTGGGAAAATATGTTATCCATTAAAGCATCAGATTCCCCTAAAAGCTCACCTGTACAGATCAATCCAGTCCCGGTATAGCCTTCTTTACATAAGCAACGATATGATCCCGCCGTGTTCTTGCAATCAGCATGTGGGCTACACTGGTGTGTGCCATTGGAACATTCATCCAGATCTGGAGAGGACAAAAACCAGCATTAATGAGAGAAACATCCTCAGTTATCTGTGCAAAGATCATGTGTGCACAAGATTAAAAAGAAAAACTCTAGTAGCGCAGATAACCCTCGACTTACAACTTTATAACAAATGTGTGTGTGTGTGCGCATGCGCGTGCATGTGTGCGTGTGTGTGTTCCAGCATAACTCTGGAACACCTCGAGCAATTTCAACCAAACTTGGTACACAGATGACTTACTCTCTGGAAAAAAATACTGTGGGGGTAAGACACCCCTAACACCTCTTGGAGTTTTGTTAAGATGCAGCCTGTTGTGCCTTTAAATGGCTTCTACTGTATGGGGCAGTGGAGTTGCCATGGTAACGGCTTCACAGTACTCCACAAGGGGTCTCCCTCTGGTAAGGGGGAAAATCCAACATTAGAAATTATGTTTCGTCCGGACATTTTCCCCCTATAAATCAATACCCGGGCAACGCCTGGTTATTGGCTAGTTATAAATAAAAACTGGACTGAATTCCTTTGGTTCTCGAAAGCAAAGTAGAAATAAGTTTAGATTTCTAAAAAAAGGATAAAATGATTATTTTAAAAACATTTGGGCAACGATACAAGAAACCTGAGGAAGGATGACTTCCTTTTCTACACATTTTCAAGAAAACGTTAAGTAAACATCTGTAAAAGGCAACATCGATGTGTGTTTTTGATACCCAGATTTGGCTTTGATGCTTAAAAGAGTTGCTTTCAGATGACAAACATATCCTTTATTCCATGGGAAAGGGATGTAAGTCTCAGTTGTTTAATGACAATTTATTTCACTATTGAGTTGCAGGCTGATTCAGATCGTCTGTTGGGTATGGGTGTGGGGTGTGCGGATGTGTGTAAGGAAGGAAGAGGGAGGAAGAGTTGTCCAAACTCACCTGTACACTTGATCCCATCTCCTAGCCAGCCTGGTTTGCAGCCACATTTAAAGCTACCAGCTGTGTTTGTGCAAATAGCGTTCCGGTCACAGTTGTCAGCACCGATTTCACACTCATTTATATCTGCGGAAACAATGGACAAAAATGTCAACAGCAATGCACGTACGTTTCCTCCTTCATATAAATATCGCAGGGTCAAAGGCTCTCCCCCCCTCACTTGATTTCTTGATTGTGTGGGAAGAAGAAGGCCAATTTGTGGGTACAAAGACAAGCCAAGGTTGTATCTAGAACAGGAAAGGAGATTCCTCCAAAGAATATGATATGTTCCATTGATTACACTGATATCTTGCCTTTCCTTCGGGGGCCCAAAGATGCATACATAGCACTCACAGCCTTCTGTTCTTCCCAAAGCATAAGAGAACATTCACACAGTAACCACAATCTTGCACAGAACTGGTTGTTCATAATACTTCTGGTCTTATTTTACGATCCCCTGATAATTCAAACGAAAGGATGAGATGACCTGATCCCTCATCTCTGTCTTTCTCTGGAGGGAACAAATGAAACCAAGAGGGGTGAAGGACACCCCTAAAAATGAAAGAAACTTGGCAGATCTCAACATGCCTTGTCCATCCCGCCATCTTGACAATTCGTCTTATTCAGCAGGCCTATTTTTATTGTGTACTGGTTTTGCCAAAGGGGTAAGAGGAATTTAAGAGTGGTTTTTTCTTCTTTCAAACGGCCAATTGGCTCTCTTGATTATTCCAATCCAAATAAAATCTTATTTCAACTCCCCAGCGTGACAAACAGAGACTCCTTTGTGGGCTGTCTGGTTCTCTGAGATCTCGGTACTATCTCTGCGAGTCTGCCGCTCAGCGTGACTGAAGATACCCCAAACTGACTCCAAATATGAGCCATATATTCATTGAATTAACTAAAGGCACCCCAAAAAAAGGGGGCGAGGGAGAATGGTGCCAAGACTATATAAACATTTTTTTCTATCGGCTCTTTCTCCGCCAATCTTGTTTTTCAACAAACCTCTCCTTTGAGAAGTTTGAAGCTATGGCTCGCCAAGGAAAGCAAAGATTCCAGTTTAAGGCCGTCCTTGCAGCCAAAGAGTTTTTCTTACTTCTTCTTACAACCAGAACAAATGTCTTCTTATCTATTTAAGCAACTTCCATTAAGATGATGCAAACAGTTTGCTCTGCTTTTCCTGCCACTTGNTGAGGACCCAGACTGTGGGGGCGATATGCTGACTCTGTAAACCGCTTAGAGAGGGCTGAAAGCCCTATGAAGCGGTATATAAGTCTAACTGCTATTGTATATAAAAGAAACAGACATTATGATATCCAGAACTTTTAAAATATATTGCTCACTGAGCTTTCGTTAGTCACTGCTAACATTGTCAGAATGTAAAAGCCATTAAAGAGATACCTGCCTTTATACAATGTTAATCAATTTGGCCCTTACGCACCTGATAGACCCATCCACCCGCTTCCCACCTGTGATTAGCTTTGTTGTTTTTACATCAAGCATGTTAATTGATGCTCCTATTCCTTCCTCCCTTATCGAACATAGCAGCTTACCACAACATTACTTACCAACGCAGCCAACATGAGTTGGGTTCAGTTCAAAATCTGGGGGACATTCACAGCTATAACTGCCTTCGGTGTTGAGGCAAGTGCCACTGATACACACCGTGGGATCTGCACATTCATTGATATCTGCGTAGTGGGGGGAAAAAGGCAACATTAACCTTCAAGTCAGCAAAAGACCCTAGTGCTCATTTAACAAGGACACTAAGCTAGCTAAACTCGCGTTATAATCCCAAGCGGAAATGTTCAGTGTAACTACTTTATGGATATTAGAGACTTTTAGAACAGCAAGCTTAATTTGACACTTGGTGAGTTTTACTTTCTTTGGATTTTAAAAAAAATGTAAAGAAAGTAAAGTAATATACAATAGGCAAAAAGCCAAAAATGGATTTTAAGAAAGTAAACATATCGGAGTTGGGTGACTGTAAGAAATACTAAAAAAAAATAATAACTAGGAAAACTTACTTGGGAAGTGGCTGCAAGTGCCCAAGAAACATCTGGGCAATGCCCTATTTGGTCAAATTAACTAAATAACTAAAGTCCTACTAAAAGCCAAACTCCATTTTTTAAGGTTTCAGAAATGTATTTAAATGCAAAAGTCAACTTTAGCTGCTCAGCCATTTTTCCTGAAATAGTGGAAACTTGTTTTTGGTGGCTTATAGGAGCACTGATTATACCAAAGTTAAGACGGTTATTAAATTGGCCAAACTATTAAGTTACCTGTGCAGTTCCCACCACTTCTGTCCAGTTCATATCCTGTATTGCACTGACATCGGAAGAGGCCAGGAAGATTGTGACAAGTTCCCAAAACACAGAGGTTGGAGAGGGAGCACTCATCAATATCTGTCATGAGAGAGTTGAGAAGAAAGAGGAGAAGATGATTAAATTTTTGTCGACCGAAGGAAGAATTAAAAGCCACAGCATGAACATCTCTGGGATCATTTTCCTTTTATGAAAATGACAACATTAGCTGTGTTGGTTCAAACTTTGTGCACATGTGTACAACATCATCACACGGTGTTCTTCAAACCTTAGCAGCTTTAAGAGGGGTGGACTTCAACTCCAGAATTCTCCAGCTTTGCCGGCTGGGCTATTCTGGGAGTTGAAATCCATGCCTCTTAAAGTTGCCAAGGTTGAGAAACGTTGCCATAACACATATGCAAAAGACTGTGGGCTTAGGTCACCATGATGAAACACTGCTTCTTTCCTTCTGCTTTCCCTGCTGACTCTGAAACGTAGAATTAAATCACCCCAAAATTAAAACCAAAAGCAGATGAATGCAAGGTTTCCTTCTTCATTAACTACATGTATAAATCTCCACAAATCCAATTACGGTGAAGCCCAATCCTCTTCTCTCTAGTGCCTTGTTCTCTTTCTCCCATTGACCTTTGCCTCTAACCGCCATAATTTTAATCTTCTTTAATTTTCTATGAGAAAGAGTGGTTTTTCTCCCATCCAAAGAATCTGAAGGAAATTAACTGATGCTCTGTGGGAGTACCAGGGAGTGTCTTACTCTTTAGTCTTCCCAAAGGCATCAGTTGTGCTGATGTCTCCACTTATTTCCCTTCTTGGAGACAGGGAGAATTAACAATTACGTCTACATTTTCATAGACCCACCCAATATTCCCTTTTTGGTCATGACCAAATATTTTTGTTCAGATACAAGTTGGAGCATACGAGAGGATCACTCTTTACGGCCAACTGTTTATCTCAATATCATGCAACCCTTTTTTTCCCCTTCATGCTTTTACAAGAATTATTGTCTTGATATACATGACGTGCTATTATTCTTGGCAATCAAAACACAAAATTAACGTAACTGCTAAGATGAACAAGGCCAAAAGGGATACTCAATTACAGCATCTCTGTAACTCTTTGCTCTCTTATTGTTTGCTCAAGGAAAAACCGCGGTTTCAGTATGGTTTTTAACAGTGGTGGGATTCTAAAATGTTAGCAACCGGTTCTCCGCCCGGTTGCTGGTGGGCATGGTTATAGTATGTGTGGCCTACTTGGCCATCTGCACCACGGTGGGCAGGGGAGTTTTCACCCTCCCCAGGCTCTGGAGGCTTCCAAGACTCCAGGAGGGCAAAACGGCCTCCCCTGGGCTCGGGAGGCCCTCCAGAAGCTGAAAACAGGCCCGTTTCCGGACTTCCGGTAGGCTCATTTTTCACCGGAGACTCTGGAGGCTTCCCTGAGCCTCCAGGAGGGCAAAAACAGCCTTCCTTGGGTTCAGGAGACCCTCCGGAAGCCGGAAACAGGCCTATTTTCAGACTTCCGGAAGGTCCAATTTTTGCCCTCCTAGACCCTCCGCACGGCCCCTGCATTTACCTGGAATCCAAAAGGGGCCATGTGGAGACTCCTGGGAGGGACAGGTTGGTGTAGGAGGGGGTGTGGTGGGCAGAACCAGCGGGTCCTTCAAACCGGTTTGCCCAAACCGGTGCGAACCGGCTCAATCCCACTACTGGTTTTTAACTGTATTTTAATCTGTGAAGTTTTAATGTTTTTAATTTTGTTACTTGTTTTATAACTTGTAAGCTGCTCAAAGTCACAGCATAGGATAGATTGGCAGCATAAAAATGTTAAAATTAAAAAAGACAGCATCTACATTTTGGGAGATTGAGAGTATGGCAAAGGAGTGAACTATGGGGGTTCACTATAGCTACCTTCTGCTTTTCAACCTCTATTCCAGGGGTCTCCACATTGACCACTTGTGGATTTCAACTCCCAGAATTCTCAACCAGCATGGCTGGCCCAAGGAATACTGGGAGTTGAGGTCCACAAATCTTAATGTGGCCAAGGTTGGATGGCTGAGGAATTCTGGGAGCTGAAGTCTCTATATCTTAAAGTAGCTAAGATTGGATGGCTGAGGAATTCTGGGAGCTGAAGTCCCCACATCTTAAAGTAGCTAAGGTTGGATGGCTGAGGAATTCTNTTGTCATAGTTGTCCTCCTTGGATCATTTAAATAGGATCACGTAGAAGCTACAGCTATCCACATCACACCTGTAAAATGACCCACAATAAACATTGGCTTTCTGTTATTCACAAGGCTAAAAATATAAACACATACATACCCAAACACATCGTTTCATCTTCATTGGTTTTGAATCCCGTGTGGCAACGACATGAATAACCCCCTTCACGGTCTAAGCAATCACCATGGCTACAAATATTGGGAATCTCTAGACACTCATTGCGATCTGTAATCACAGAAAGCTTAAACATTTTAGAATTTTTCAGCAAGAGAACGGTTGGGGGAAAAACAGGTGGAAAAACAAAACAGTTCCATCTTTCAAAACATGAAAATTTTGCTAACTTATTTCTCAACAGGAACACAAAGTACTACATTAGCTTTAAATTTTGGAGAAAATTATGACGAGTTGAAGTAGAAGAATTTGGCACCTAAATAGCTCCTCTTTAAAGCATTGTAAGGAAAAAATTAATGCAATCCTAACATTACAATGGAATTAAACTGTATGTATTCCTAAACAAGTTCAACTTATTGTATTGTCAACTTATTAACCTTTGGTACGGATACGACTTAACATGACACACTTATCAAACGGTAAATATTGTGTTTTATTTTCCCTTCCTGAGCAAAATTCGGGGAAATAAAGTTTCTGCCAATACATATTAAGGTACATTGTTGATTGTATCAGCTTTTGACCTGGAGTTTCCTGTTTCTATTGCAGAGAATGAGCTTACAGAATTATTATGTTTAACAAGATGCTAACTCACCACATTTTCCTAAAGAATCCAAACCTTTCAATCTCAAAGTGAAAATCGACTTCTGCTTCTACGTTTGCATCTTTTCCTGCAAAAACTGCAGGTCTGTGGGAAAAGGTGCTTTTCTCTCAAATACAGCTCAGAAAATGCCCATGAAAATACTACTTCCACCACTACTACTATATCTACCAGATGGACATGTGGTCCATAACATGCCTGACACCACTATTGTGCAAAATATATTGTGCAAAAGAAAAAAGTCCAGTTCGTTGCTATTGCAATACCAGGGGATGCAAGAATTGAGGAGAAACAGCTAGAAAAAAATAATATTGTGATTTACAAATTGAACTTAAGCGATTATGGAGGAAGAAATCAATGGTTGTACAAATAGTAATGGCAAATCAATAGCAATGGCAAATCTAGACAGTATACTAAAAAGCAGAGA